GAGTGTGTATGATTTTCTAAGCGTTTCGCCCAACGGTTTGCCGATAAATCGCAAAACCGGCAAAAATGAATGGGTGTGGTATTGGAAGAATGTTCATGACAATAACTGACGTTTCATTTAGAGTGGAGCGAGAGGGAAAATTTTGTCGAAAAATAAATTTGTAAACTGCCTCTCAAGGCACAAATGTCGCTCTACAGAAATAATTTATAGGATAGAAACGTACGTAAATTTATTGGGTCGCAGTGATACCACTGTGAAGCCTGTCAGACAAATAGTTTTGCGCGGAAATGCACAGCTGGCCGGCAACACCTCTCGAGCCCATCTCTCCCATGTTAATTTGAGAGGAGACATTTTTGAAAAGGCTTGTTGAACCTGTTCTTTCTCAACTGCCGAGCGTCACATTTTTTGACTGTAGCCACTGAAACTTGGCAGTCCTAATGGTCAACAAGATGACGATGCCTCAGCGTCTTTCGTTTTTTGGTCAATCCTGGCCAATGGTTCAAGGGGGTTCATTTTGAGATTTTCTGTCTCTCTCAGGAGTGAGAGACAGAGAGAAAGCGCGCAGCTGCGCTTAACTGGCCCTGGTTGCCACGACAACCAAAGCCTGACTGTGAACATACACATACACACACACACACAGCTAGCTAAAGAGGATGACAAGGTATTAAAATGCTAGCGCTAGCTAGCTAGCTAGCTAGCTAAAGAGGATGACAAGGTATTAATATGCTAGCGCTAGCTAGCTAGCGTGCTAGAGAGGATGGCATGGTATTAATATTGCTAGCGCTAGCTAGCTAGGTAGCTAGAGAAGATGACATGGTATTAATATGTTAGCGCTAGCTAGCTAGCGTGCTAGAGAGGATGACATGGTATTAATATCAAGCCAGAGTCAGGCACACTCAAAACATTTTTAGAATTTTTCTAGTTATTTTTACAATTCATTAATCAATTTATTGTTCTAAATACTTTGTTTACAACAATAGATCAGAAAATAGTGAAACATGGCCATTAAGGGTCCGAGATGTCTTGATTTGTCAAAAGTCCAAACCCCCAAAGATATTCAGTTTACTGAAAAAAGAAAAAGCTGCAAATCCTCAAATTTGAACAGCATAAGGTATTAAATTGACTTAATTAAGCAAAAACAGACATTTCTGTATAAACAGTTTACCGCAATAAAATGGTTTTATCCATATCACCCACCCCTAACTTATTGTCTTTGCACTAAACCAACTGCTGATCACATATTGATAAAACTAGCATAATGATGCACAGAACTACACTCTTGGCCCAAAACAAACCCTAAAACATGTATCTGTCCAAACACGGCTCCTGTGTACCTGAGAATTCCAACTGGATGACCCCACTCTCGTGCAGGGTGTCCCCCCTCCTGTCCTGGTGGAAGAGCGTGACTCCACCCTTCTCCAGTAAGAACTCCAGTCGGGCAAACAGGTGATCTCGCCTGGTAAACGTGTTGAGAGTGTGAGAGTCCTCTAACGGGTCAAACAAGTCTTCTGTCTCTGCTGGAGAAGCATTACACCAGGGTCAGCAGTCAGAATTTCTCTGCCTTGAGAAGTATGATTTTATTTCGATCATACTAACTTTTTATACAGGAGACTATTCTTTCACCAATTCCAAGAATAATCTAATGTAATTCAAATTAAAAAAGTTTTTTTTAACAATGACAGAAAAATCTCAAGGCTGTCTTTGACAGATTCAGTCCAGAGCACTCTCTTTCTCCCCCATCCTGAAGATCTAGGCTAAATAAACAAAATAATTATTCTTTATTGTTGAATAGAAGCAAAACAAGTAACCCTTTACTGAAGACACAAACTCTCTCTCTTTTTTCTTTTTTTCTTTTTAGTCAATGAATCAGGCCAATTACATGGCATTTTGAGATAATTAGCATCTGCCAATGTATGTGCTCACAAGGCCGATAAACAAAAAATGTCTTCAGACACATCTGCAGGCAGCCTTGTTAGTGTGGCTGCCATGTAATAATGTTAGTGCTCCCCTTTGTGAGTTTTCGGAAGGTGGTGATAAAGTTGGTTTTGAGCCCTTTACTATAACTCTTATGCATCCTGCTGTAAACATGTGCCTACATTTCCTGAAAAAGAGAATAGAACTATGAATTTTCTTTATTTTGATATTGTATAATCTATTGGCCATAAACAGCTCTGCTGTCTAAATATCATTATAAATGCATAATCTGTAACTAAATGCTATTAAAGAGACTACATGTGTCATTATCATCCAAAACATTTCAATGAAAGCAGGTAATCGTGACGGAATTTTTACCAGCCTGTCAAAATGATGGACAATAACAGAGTCTAATGCAACTCTGCTAGAGCTTATAAACAGACTAAAGACAGCTGCTAAATGCTGTCAGCGCTCCTCTGGCACCAGACAGGAGTTAGTCCCTAACCCAGAATATCCCAGGAAGATGGACTTGGTAGGAGCTCTTCAGGCCGGTCTTGGGCATCTCCATACCAGCCTCCCCAGCCCGGGAACCAGGACTGCAGGTACTGGATCATCCCTGAGCTCCCGCTCTTGGGTATGGATGTAGTCGGTGAACAGGGCTGGGGGTCACTGCTAGGCTCTTGCACATTCTGGGAGAGGAGACAGTGGAAGAACACAGGCTGAAACTAACTAATAACAAATAACCAACAGCAAAGAACAGTAGCCGGGAAGTCAGGGAGGCTGGGTGACTGAACGGAGGAAGGTTAAACCACTGAAGCCCACGGCTCACCACCAAAAGATTCACGTTTCTAATAAATTTTCCCCACTCAGCGACACACCCGCTGAGG